TGCCCCTGGGCATGCTGAGCTGGCCACCCCGAGACCAGGCATGGTGACACACGCCTGTAATCCCAGCACTGGAGAGGCTGAAAAGAGGCCCTGTACCAAACACGTTTAAAATTAATTAATTAATTAATTAATTGTGGGGCCAGGGAGATGACTCAGCAGAATAAGTGCTTTCCTGGAAAGTGCAAGCGCCAGTTCCGCAAAAAAAAAGCATCTTGGGGCCAGGGAGATGGCTCAGTGGAATAAGTGCTTCCCTGGCAAGCACAAGGGCCTGAGTTCAATCCTTGGTTCTGGAAAAAAAAAAAAATTTTTTTGAAAAACGGCAAAACTCACCCATGTAGCAGGTAACCAGAAAGGGTAGCTAGGTGGGAACAAAGAGGGAAGTCTGGGGTGTGGCTGCCCTAGTGTGTCCCACTAGTTCAAATTAATCCATTCACCTCCACAGACTCACTATGAAGCCCAGGCTATCCTCCTGCCTCAGCCTCTGTTGTGCTAGGATTACAGGAGTGCACCTCCATGCTCAGCTCAAAATTCGCAGTTTATGTTGCCCACCTGCCTCTGTCACACACAGCTCTGAAGAGCCACTGCTCTGCCACCAGCTCCAGTGCTGAGGTTATGCTAATGCGACCAGGCAGGGAAGGCAAGTGTTGGGGGAGAACCCCAGAGCCCCAGGATGTGGGCCTGATGCCACAGACTCTCTTGCTACCAGAGGGGCTACCTGCCTGGAAACAAGGCCGGAAGAGGAAGCAAAGAGGGGAGCAAAGGGAGCAGTGAAAGGGGACCTCCCGGGGTCATTCTGGAGCGCCCAGGTCTGTGTACCTGGACTTACTACATAGGCCAGTGAATTCCACTTGGCTTAAGCCAGGCTGGGCTGCACTTGTCACTTGTCATGTATGGCAAATGTGCCTATTACCACCTCTGGAAGCCTGTGCAGACTCAAAGAGGAAAGTGGATCTTGTACTACCCAGTCTCGTTGCAGGCACCAGCATCCCTGGCCAGGCCAGGGCTCACCTGTCTCCCCGGAGCATTTATTATTCATTGGCCATCTGATCGTCAGAGAAATGAGCAAGAGGCAGGGAGGCTCCTTGTCCCCACGTTCCCTGCCATCCTTGGCCATTCCGGCACTGGCCAGACAAAAACAAGGCTCCAGGGAAGGGCAGGCAGTCTGGACATACCCAGGGCGTAATAAAAGCACAACAGGCTAGAAAAGCATCTCGGAAGGGCCAGGCAGGCAACATCCAGAAGAAAGCTGTACAACAGGCATGGCAGCACACACGGCAAGCCCAGCTATCCCAGTAACCACAGCAGAGGGATCCCAAGTTCAAGGTCAGTCTGGGCACTCCAGCAGCTCTTATCGCAAAATAAAATAACAAGGGCTGGAGCCACAGCTCGGTGCTTCACTGGGTTCAATCCCCAGTACAAGAAAAAGGAAAGAAAGGAGAGGAGGAGAAGAAATAGAAGAGAGGTAAGAAGGAAGAAGAGACTCTACCTGGATGACCAGTCACCATAATAAAGAACACAGAGCCATTTACTAAGTACTCCTCCTCTGTCATAATACACTGTCTTACGCTACAACCCTTCCTCGGGGCGGACTCTGTCATTGGTCTATTACACAGATGAAGAAACTGAGGCACTGGCAGGTGAAGCAACTTGCACAAAACCATGCAGAGAGCAAGGCCTCAAAGTGAGAGTGTTCAACAGCAAAGGCCAGGCTGGAGGCAGAAGGCCCAGCTACCCAGCACCGGCTTGATTAAGAGACACCAGCCCCTCCTCTGACCCTGCCGTGACAGCGTGCCTTCATCTGCAGTGACACTCACTTCCTTCGCGATTTCGAGAATCCAGATTTCTGGAGAAATCAAAACCTATTTCTTAAGCAAGCAGATTGCTTCTCCAGTTACCTGAGATTCCTGTCTACGTTCAGCATCATGCCTTTGGGGTCAGCATGTCCCCCGCTGAGTATTTATGCCCATACCTTTGTGCCTGTTATTCTGCCTGGGACGGCTGACACTGCACTGGGCAGCTGTCTCCATTCTCCACACAGGCCCCAGAGTGGGCTTTGATGAACTTTCTTTTTTTTCTTTCCTTTTCTTTTGGCAGAACCAGGGATTGAACTCAGACCCTTGCACTTGCCAGGCATGTGCTTATTCCACTGAGCCACCTTCCCGGCCCTGATGAACTTTCAATTCCATCACACCACTCCAGGCCCACCTTATGGCCAGGGTCAAAACCATGCACAGAAAGCTGCAGCTACTATGCACTTGGTGGTCCCAGCTACTTGGGAGGCTAGGCAGGAGGCTCACCTTAGCCTAGGAGTCTAAGGCCAGCCTCAACAGCACATTGAGGACCCATCTCCAAAGAGGAAAAAACGCAGACAATAACAAGTGTTGGCAAGAAAGGAAATCTGAGTCCTCACCCTGAGCTGTTGGGAAAGTAAACAGCACAGTGGCTTTGGGGGAAGTTAGACTCAGTTCCAAGTGCTATGGTTTGAGAGTGGCCCTTAAAAATTCCTTTGTGGCAACTTTAACCCCTGCACCTGGCTGCTTCGGGCAGTGGGGTCTGTGGGAGGTGTCTGGGCCGTGGGAGGAGATTCTTCCAGAGTGGCCTGATGTAGGACTGGATTGGCCACCGCCACAGCAGGTGGTTCCACAGCGGACTTTGCCTCTGCTGCGCTCGCCCTGCCTTCTTCTACCCCAAGTTGAGGAAAGACAGGGCACCCGCCGCGAGCAAGCAGCTGTCAGCAGCAGGCTCTCAAGCGCCTAAGCCTCAGAACCATAAGAACTTCTTTTCTTTGTACATTGCCCAGCTTTAGCTATTCTGCTATCGCAACAGAAGATGAATGAGGCCAGCATGTGACCCAGTCATTCTGCTCCTAATTATTACACAGACCCCCGTGCAAGGAAAATGTACATTCACACAAAAAGCCGTGTACAGGAACAGACCCTGTGCTATTCATAACCGAAGAGCAAAACAACTCAACTGCCCACTAAGAGAGGAATGGGCAACAAAATTTACCCATCTACACAGTGGAATGTTGTGCGGTCATTAGTAGGTACTCGGGGGAAAGGCACACACTTAGCAAGCACAAAGCCTGAGTTCAACTGCTAGAGTCAAAGGAAAGAAGAAAAAGAAGTAGGTAGGTTGGGCGTGTTGACGCACACCTGTCATCCCAGCGCTTGGAAGGCTGAGGCAGGAGGATTGCCATGAGTTTGGGAACACACTGGGCTACACAATGAACCCCTGTCTCAAAGAAAAGAAAACGAAGAACTAAGTACTGGCACTTGCTACAACATAGGTGAACCCTGATGTGCCAAGTGAAAGCCAGATGCAAGGAGGCAAATATTATTTAATACTTTTTTTTGTGTGTGGAACTGGGGATTAAACTCAGTCCCTTGCGCTTGCCAGGGAAGCACTTATTCCACTGAGCCATCTCCCCAGCCCCCTGATACCATTTCTATACAATACTCAGAGTAGGTAAGTCTGTTGGGGAGAAAAGTAGAGCATGGTCCCCTGGGAATAGGAGGAGACTTGGGGGGCCCGGGGTTCACTTGAGATAACATAAGTGGTCTGTAAACAAACACTTAAAGGACAACAATGGCCATGTACTAAAAGCCAGTGAATTGTACATTTGAAGATGGTTCAAAGTGGGATTTAACTGCATATGAATTTTATCTCAATTTAAAAGATATGCCCTGGGGCTGGTGGGATGACTCAGTGGTCTAAAGCACCTACTTAGAACAAGCTTAGCAAAGCACAGGGACAGCGGTTCAATCCCCAGCACCACATGCCAGCCAGCCCCGCCCCCTGGTGGGCTGAGCTGGCCACACACACACACACACACACACACACAAATAAATAAATAAAATTTAAAAAAATAAAAAATAAAAGATATGTCCTGGGGGCTGGGGAGATGGCTCAGTAGAATAAGCGCTTGCCTGGCAAGGGCAAGGGCCAGAGTTCATTCCCCAGTTCCACCAAAAAAAATAGATTAATTAATTAAATAATAATAATAAAAGATATGTCCTGGCACGGTGGCACACATTTGTCATCCCAGTTCTCAGGAGGCCAGGGGATCAGAAGTTTAAGGTCAGCCTCACCCAAAACCCAGTCTCAAAAATAAAATGTCAAAAGAAATGGCTAGAGATAGATATAGCTCAGTGGTAGAGCTCTGGCCTGGCATTCCTGAGGGATTCGGCCCAGGAACCCTGTCACCCTACTTTTAATCTCTCCACTGTACTACGAGTCAAAGCCAAATTCCCTCTGGGGCCCACAGGGCCCTACTGGCCAGGCCCTGAGGCATGTGCTCCCTCCTCAGGATCTCCCCATCACCCTCTCTGGTCCTCCACACCCCATGCTCATCCTGTCCTCATGGGCCTTTACATCTGCTGAGCTGTCAGCACAAATGTCCCTTCTCCCCACAGGAGGGCAGGGACCCTGTCTGCCAGGTCCCAGCCCACCCTATAGGCAAGAAGAATTCCTCAGGAAGGAATGGATTTATGGAACAACTTCTGGTGCAATCTGAAATGTCACCTGCCACCTGGTCAGAAGTTGGAATCACTAAGTCACATGCCACACAGCAGGTGCTCAGGGAGTTACCGGGTACTGGCAGGGCACTGGGTGGCAGGCCCCACCCCAGGCCTGTCCGGAACCCTGAGGAAGCCTTAGTCTGAAAGTCTTCTAGGGGTCACAGAGCACCCAGTGTTTACCCAGCAACCTACAAACAAACACAGAGGAGAGATCTGAGATTGCGCTGCTGACCCCCAAGCTTGCAGCTTCACTCCAGGTTGGCCTCATAAAAACGTAACACTCTCTGCTAGGGCTGCTTGGGCCTTTGCAACCTGACCTGTCCTCTAGAGCTGACGGTTGCAGCTCGCACCTGCTCCTGCTCCCTCCCAAGGACACCTTCTTTTCAAGGGCAGGGAAGTCTAAATGGGCAGAGGGTGAAGGTCTCTCCCCTTCCTCTGTCCGGCTCCCTCGGCACCCATGCACACAGCCAGATAACTTACCCACAAGGAGCTTGACATCCCGGACAGTGAAATCGGGGTCAGGCATTCTGGAGAAAGAGAAGCACAGGTATTGGTGAGGAGTCAACAGCAGCAGAGCCGGACTCCACCCTGGGCCAGGGGAAGCCACTTTTCCATGAGAGTTCCTCGCTCTCCATTGGGGAAGCCAAAGAGATAACACAGAAGGAGGGAGGGAGGCCAGGGGTGCCTCAAGAGAGGTCACCCCAGAACCATGGAGCCCCTTCCCCACCCAAGAGGCAAAAAAGCCAGAATCTCAGCAGAGGACAGGACATCGCCATTCAGCCCGCTTCCACCGGGAAGCCTGAAGAGAGGGATCAAGGGCCAATTTCTTCAGAGAGGGCAGCCTCTCTATGGCCGACTCTCCCCCTGGAAAATACTCTCCGCACCGAGCAGTGTGGAAAGTGGGAGGGACTGCTTTCAGTTCCCAGGGGAAAAAGCCACACACCCTACAGTTCCAGGGATCTGCTAAGGCTGCCTGCAATGACCAAGGGGATACCGTTAACTAACAGAGACACTGAAGGTTAAATTCCTACCCTTCATCTGTCTGGCAGTAGATGTTGGAGAGAGGCAGCCTGTGCTGACACCATGCACCTCCTCCCCTACCCCAACCTCTGCCAAGGGCGGAACCTGTTCTTCCGGCCTGCCGTGGTCTCTTCCCTACCTGCAGCTCCTGCAGACCCCCGCCTAGCACACATGTCCCCCACAAGTGCCTGCTTCCCACACTGGGGAATCTCTGAAGAAAATGTGTATCCATGGCCACAGCTCAGGTTCTGCCTCAGTTTCCTAGTTTGAGATTAGGGGAGAAGGAAAGCTACCCTTCTCAGCAGGCAGTCACTGCATGAACCCAGGGTGCATGGTGGGGGATCACTCCTTAAGCGCCCTATGTCCTCACTGCCAGAATTCGTAAAAAAAACACACCCCTTCCTATGGTCAGGCCTGGAACCACGAGATGCTGCTACCAGATCACGGGAAAAGGTCCTACGCACGCAGTGACCAGCCGTGGGAAAGGTGCAGAAGAAATCCATCCCCAAGCTATCACTGTGTTAGGGAGGAAGGCAGGAGAAGAAGCAATGAGTTTCAACAACTTACTTAATTCCTAGTCCGTCCTTTTCTCGAAATATCAGGGGTACCCTGAGAGCTTCTCTCTGTACGTACTCATAGTTGAAATCTGTTTGGATATTTGAATTAAAACAAGTTGGTTAAGTTGTTCAGGAACAAATGAACCACGATCTATTGGAAGAGAAATGACAGAGGAAGGGGCAGGGGTCTGCTAACCACAGACGCTGGCTCCAAGGCCAAGACCTTCTGGAATGATGGGGTGCAAAGCCCCCGGGAGGCCAGACCCACAGTCGGCTCTCTGCCTACTCAGCCTACTCAGCCGCTCTCTGCGTGCCCCACGGGTCCAAACTTGTCAATGAACAGCCGAAGGCCAGCCAGCGTTGGAGAGGAGACTCAGAAGGGGCCATGCTAAAAGAGCCCAGCTAGTGCTGGGAGAGAAGCAGGGACAGACAGACAAATGCATCACGGACTGAGCTCAGAGAGTAAAGGGACCACAAAACCAAAGGATGCCACCTGGTAGGATCTGAAGCCCCAGAGAGGAGGCTGGGAGGAGGCCTCTCATTGTAGCTGAACATCAGTGAAAATCTTATTGTAATATCCTGCATGGAAAAGGGGAGGGGGAAAGCCGGTTTCCCTGGAAACTGTGTATTTGGTGCCAAAATAACTAGGGAACTGGGCACAGCTTTGTTGCCTTCGGAGTGGAATCCGGCTGGGGCATCACAGGACTTGCTTGAGCTGGATAACCAAGGATGCGCTCCAGGTGCACTGCACAAAGGGGCACAAGAAGGCCCAAAGAAAAGTCCACAGGGTAGATTTCCGCCCTGTGGGTTCCCCTGGTGCAGACCATAAATGCTTCCCCAAAGCCCCGGAGAATGATGGAGGCCATGGCCTAACTCTTTCCTTCCATTCCCAGACCAGTAAGTAGATCTGAATCGATGGAACCCCTGACTAGGGAGGTGAAAGGGGCTGAGAGGAGTCTTCCTATGCCCCAAGCCCTCCAGGGACTACAGCAAGACTCCAGGGCACAAGCCCTCCCAGACTGGTCAGAAGGGAGAGAGGGGAGTCCCCGGCCACTGAAGCTATTAGCCCCAGAAATGGCTCCCCGGGCAGCCTTGGGGGAGGAGGCAGTCCAGGCAACTGGCTCAGAAGAGAGAGAGAACAAAACCGACGCGGGGAAAGCCCTGACCTCAGCGGCTCCCATCCCCAGGGGCTCGCAGTGAATGGGGATTCCTAAGGATTTAAAGGAAGGCAAGTTTAAGAAGCTTCTATTTGGAATCCACGCTAAGGGCTCCTTCAGTTTCTTAGCTCCTCCCTTGAGTTTTGGGGTCAGATCTGAATTAACTAGCAAGACCCTAAGGCCCTGTCCTTTGAAAGGAACCAGGACAGCAGTTTTGCAGATGCCCTTAGAGCTCTCTGGCTGGTAACATTCCCTACCCGGACATCACCAGGAGTGGGGAGCCCCACCTCATGCCCCTAGGCACAGCTTTGGCTTCCTTAAATGACTGAAAAAAAAAAAACCAAAAAACTGAAGTCCTAGACTAAGGATTCCTGACAAATAACTAGGAAGTCTGCATATTATTTTCTCATAGGCTCTGTCATACGATTCAGTAAAGTGTGTGTGTTAGGGGGACTGAAATCCAATTTATGTGGAGAAAATTTAAATGCAGCTGGGATTGGCACCCTGCTCTTGGACTGGGACTGGGCAGGCTAGGGAAAATGTCCTCTTCCCTGCCCCCACTTCTCCCCAACCCACCCAGCCCAGCGCCCCAGGATGCAACCAGTACAAAAGAGAAACTTCAAAAACGCAAAGCCGGGACAGTGGCTTGGGGGGTAACCCCTGGCCCCAGCCACTCAACCAGAACCTGGAGGAGGGAGGCGCTTGCCCAGCTGTCAGCTCACCCAGAGGAAAGGGCTCTCTGCGGGGGAGGGGATGCACAAGATGGACACTGAGTAACTGAAACTCAAATGTCTGAGGGGACAGACAACGACCCCCACAGCACAGGCAGCAAAGGCAACCAGGATAGGCAAAGGCATCTCCGAAACTTCAAAGGCATCTTCCAGGTTTGGCTCCAGGACAGGAGACCACGCTCAACTCCAGGCTGAGGTGTCAGGGCTCTCAAAGCCACTGACCTAAGCAGGAGCAGCATGCCAACATCTGGGAAGAGGTCACCCCAGTCTTCTCCTACTAGGAGGGCCAGTGAGCAGCCCAGGTCCTGCAGGTGGCTCTCCAAAACTCTACTGGAGGAGCCACAGAGACCAAAGACTTCAGCCTAGGACAGACCTGGTTTTCCAGAGAGGCGCCCTGATCCTTGCCTTCAAACTGTTGGAGGACAGGGATCTCTTGCTTAAGCCTAAAGGGAAGTCATCCCATAATCCCACTGCCAGCTTCAAACTGTCAGGGCTGCAGCCAGAGGCCTCAGGCTGCGTGGGTTCAGGCCAACAACCAACAACTGAGAGCCTGCTCAACCTGGCAGGGCCCAGGAGGCCACTGGGCTCACTAGAGCCCAGACCTGCAGGAGTGCATAACCCCATTAATCCAGCAGTCCCCCTAACAGTTTCTAACTACAAGGGTTTGGAAAGACAAGGACTTGGGAAACCCCACGCCTGGGGGGGCCTCAGCCCCGACATCCCAAGGGTATCCCAGGGGCGCCCAGCAGTCATCTAGGCAGACAGCTGCACCTCAGCCGGCGCTGGGAGCACGACTGGCTGAAGAGGGGGAGGACGAAGCGCTCACACCATCCCTCGTTCCAAGTGTCTGTCCCCAGGTCCCCCTGGGTCCGCGGCCACCAGGCTCTGCCCATCCCGGGGCTGGTGGTGGGTGCAGGCCGGGCCTAGGCCCGCGCCCGGCCCCCGTCCCGCCTGCCCTCCTCCCTCGCCACCCCACCCCACCCCCCAGTGCTCGGCCTCGTTTCGTCACCGGATCCCCTGGAATGGGGGACGCGGGCGCGAAATACGAACCCAGCCACCGGCGCTCCCTCCCCACGTGCGTGCGGCCCGCGGCGCTGAGGGCAGCCGGGAAGGGGGCGCCTCACCTTTGCCCTCCATGGCGTGCACGAAGTCCCCCTGGTACAGCTGGCTGCGCAGCTTCTCCTCCAGGCTGAAGCCGCGGACGCTGACAATCTCCTCCACGTCCGACAAGTCTTCGTTTTCGTCGTATCTCTGGCGGTCAATCGGACGCTGCGGGGACCCAACCAGAGAGCCCGGGACATTATTAAGGGAACTGGGGGTCTCCTGTAACCGTGGGCCCAGCACGAACAGGTGCAGGAGCCGCGCCCCCTCCCCTGTACCCCACCAGTGCAATCTGAACAACTTTGCGCAAATGCCAAAGATGCTGAAAAGCAGGAAAAGGAGAGGGGCCCACGCCCCGAGGGTCCAGCTACACCCTACACGAAGCACAACCCTCCTTCATCTTTGGAAGCCACGGCAGGGGCATCTAGGGGCTCTCTCTTGCCCCCCACTCCGGGATGTGCTGAGCTTTGCCCACCCAGCTGAGAACCTGGTTATGTAACCCGCGAAGGGGGCTCCAGGCACCAGCCGGCGGGGCAGATGTAGGCCCCGGGAGAAGCCGCAGCGGCGCCGGGCTCGGCTCTCACAGCAGCCCCACCAGCCGCGGCGGCAGAGCCGGGAAGCCGGAACCGGGGGCCGGCGGCATCGCTGAGGCTGGAGCCGCCCCCGAGCTACCGGGAGAGCTGGAAAGCTGAAATGGAAGGGCTGAAACCCCAGCCGCCCCCGCCGACTGCCCGCCAGTTCAAGAAGAGAAGGTGAGAGGAGGAGGTCTGGGGCTTGGGAGGGGAAGAGGCAGACGGCCCGCCACAAAGCTCCCATCAGAGACCCCAAAACGCACCAGCAGCTGCCTCATTTCCCCACGAGCGCGCGCGCACACTCACTTCCTAAGGAGACTCCCCCACCACTCCCCGCATCCCCCTGCCTCCTCCCTCCACCGCCGGCCCCGCAGCCCCCGGAATCTGGGCGAACCCCAAGCCCGCTCAGCCCTCCTCTACGCCTTTCCGCGCTACCACCTCCCCACTTAAGTGTCTGAGACTCAGAGCCTCACAAGGGACTGGAGGAGTAAGCTGCTTGCTTCCTTTTGCATGCAATTTATTATTTTTTTCCGGTCCTCTTGCAAAATACAGGAAAAAAAAAAAAAAAGGAAAGAAAAGGCAGCAAGAAAAAACCAAAAAAAAAAAAAAAAGGAAAAAAAAAAAAACAAAAAAAAAAAAAAAAGGATCTACGTATACCAGATACAGATTTGGAAAAAAAAAAAAAAAAAAAGCTACACACCAATCTTCTTCCAGAGTCTTTCTCTGCCTCCATTTTTTTAGGAGAGTTCACCAATTAATTGTCAACACCCCTGCCCCCTGCATTTTGGCGGAGGGGGTGGGGAGGGAAGAGCAAAGAAAACAAACCAAAAATAAATAAATAGAGCAAGCCAGAGCCGAGATCTACAAAGTTTTGCACCAACACTTAGGCAGATCCGTTTGCAAAGTCCTAGGAAACCATTTTCAGCAGTTGGGGGGGGAGGCGTCGACGTCATAATCCCCGGAACGTAAACATTGTTGCCGATCGCGCTTGCGGCCCGCGGCCGGGCAAGGGGAGGGCGCCGGGCCCGGGATGGGGGTTTGGGGGGCGGTGGCCCGAGGAGGTGTGGGGCGGGGAGGGAGCTCGGGAGGCACTGGGCGCCTTTAGCGCCCTGGCATCGCTGTTTTGTTGTTGGGTCACGAGTGCGCCTCTGCACGCAGGCGCCGCCGCCGCCCGGGAGTAGTGTGCAGAGCTGACTTTTGGAGGGCCGAGTTGCAGGCGGCGGGCGCATCCCGGCGATGGCGGGGCAGGAGGGAGGGAAGGAGGAGGGGGTGGGGAGGGAGGTGCAGATTTGCACGGCTGGCCTCAGCGGGAGGCGCGGAAATGCAAGCCGAGCTTGCTGGCGAGAAAGCCCCCTGGGCCTGGCACTCCCCAATGTGACCCCCCCCACCTCAGTCCATTCTCCTTTGCCCACAGCTCTTCTTTCTTCATCCACTCAATCCCATTACCTGCGTTGGCAACCCAAATACAGAGCATTTTGAATATATAATCTTTTTTTTTCTTTTCTACCTAAAGTCTTTTGGAGGGGGAGGGGCAATCCTATCGAGATCCCCATTTGCGAACCTGCCATATGGAAGGGGCATTTGAGGGGCCAGAAGCAAATTAGCTAAGCTCCGTATCTGGATGGACTGCGTAACTTTTAAACTCCCTGAGCTAAAAGATAATTGGGACATGTGCACACACAGGTACAGGAAATACAGCCAGACCAAAGGTTTTTCAGACCGCAGCTGACCGGAAGCCACTGCCTTTTCATTCATTCATTCTGCCCTGAAGCACAAGTTGGACTTTTTGTAAAGGTCCTTGCATTCCTCTGGAGGAAGAAATTGACGGAAGAAATGCCTGCAGGATCGGACCTAGCGCCTCCTAACACACCTCCCAAACAAGCCAAAGGTAAGCCCAGCTGTCCCTTTATGGAAGTGGTGAGCAGGCATTTTTTCTGGGAAGGGGCACAGAAACTTGGGGCGCACCCTGATTTAATCTTGCATGGCCTTTTAGCAGAGGTGTGGGGACCCTTCCCACGTGTGCGGCATGTCACCAGTTGATGGTGCTCCTATGCCCTTGGCCCTAGGACCTGTGACTACCTCAGTTGACTCTGCCATCCCATCATGTGCAAGAGTGGGGTCCACTTCAGTTTTAAGAAAAGCTGATCCTGAGTTTCTTCTAGCCCAGCTCCTGTGCCATGCAAGGCCTGGTCTTAGGGCAAAGCTCCTGATAAAATGACATGGCCCAAGGGCCACAGTAAGATCTTCCTCGTATGTCCATATGGCCGTGGTTTTGTTTTTTCGGTATGAGGCACTGAACACTGGGAACATGGGTCTGCACCGCGGCAGACCCATGTTATTTTTTATATTAAAATATTGCCAAGATCATACCCTAGCCACTCTCAAAAAAATTTGTTTTTTGTTTTTTATGATACTAGGAATTTAATGCAGGGCCTTTTCCCTGAGAAACATCCTCAGTTTTTTGTTTTTTGTTTTTTTTAAAGTAGGGTCTCACAAATTGCCTGGATTGTGCTTGAATTTTCTGTCCTCCTGCCTCAGCCTCCCAGACTCCTGGGATTACAAACATGCATTGCCCTACCGGGCCTGTCCTTGCACTTTTAATCCTCCTGCCTTAGCTTCCCAAGGAGCAGGGATTACAAGTATACACCACTACATTCAATTTAACATGGCACTTTATTTTTGTGATTAACCCTGTGGGCTAGTTGGAGGGGATCATTTTGCATATTGAGAAACTGGGAAAAGTCACACCTGTATGATTTTTCTACCATGTCACCACCAATGGCAATAAGCAGTCAGACAGATGTGGTGAGGAAGTGGCTTCTTACCCAGATCAGATGTGAACCATATATGTCACTGGAAGAGATGGTGTCACCTTCACTTACCTTAAAATTTCCTGTCATGTCACCTGTAATCTTTTCCACCCATCCCTGAAGGCGACTTTTTGAAGTTTGTTTTAATCCCTGGTCACAGGATGTCCAAATCTTAACTCAGGAGGAAGCTAACACAGAAATGTGTCTCTGCTAGAAGTCACCCACATTGACCCCCTGCAGCCAGAGCAGCCCCCACCATTTTATTCTCTGCTTTCTTGAGAAAAAGAGGACCCCTTCAGAGAAACCCCTCAAGCTATTCACAGTTTTGCAAGCGAAGAAATTGGGGCTGAAAAGGCAAAGCCACTCACCCCTGCTCATATTGCTTTGCACGCCCTGCTCGCCACTAGGAGCCTAGCAAGACCCATGCATGCCTTTTCAGGTATCGCTGCTCCCAAAACAGGAAAGAACACTGCTCCAGGAAGGCTCCTGGGCTGCGGGGTGGAAAGATGTGAGTGACATGCAGTAAAGCAAGCCTGGGAAATAGAGTGCGTGGTCTTTATCTGCTTGCTCCCCATGTGGCTTTGTGGTGTCCCCCAGGAGCTAGTAGCATTAGGAAAAGGTTCCCCAGAAGCCACCTGAGTGTAAAAACAGGTCCATATATCACTTCCATGGGGAATTCCTGGCTGTCAGAGCAGGAAGGGCTTGACTAGTCACCTAATTTAATCCCTCCCTTTATAAACCTCCAGGAAACTGCAAACCTGAGAGAAGAATGAGCCGCTAAGGGTTTGTTCCCCTTTGACTCCCCCAGAACGCCTAACCCTGCCTCCATCCTAAGTGGTCACTCAATAAATGTTGGGCTCTTGATGGATCACCTTCCCCAGCATATTTGCATTTTCTCTTTATCAGTAATTGGCAGATGAAAGGCTTTGTGCTCAAGTTAAAAGAATTCCAAGCATTCGCTCAAAGTGGGGGAGGAGGTTATTTTGGGCCAAAGGCAGAGGGGCCTGGACCCTTGAGCTCCGGTTGTCCTCAAGAGCTGGGAGTAGGTGAGGAAGTTGCCAGAAGCTGAAGGTGCTTGTGCAAACTTTTTTTTTTTTTTTTTTTTTTTTTTT